TTTTTTTAATCTGAAGCTGGTTGTCAGTATGCGACGAGGCGAGCGGTTCTTTAGGGAGCTGGCTGTTGCTGCTGCGTAGCTGTCGTTGTCGTAGTTACGGCCCCACAACAGACAGAACTGGACGAGCTGCAGCCAGCAGGGGGCGCAAATACACAGTTTTAAAAAGCTGCTAGAAATGTTCACATGTTAATGAAAATACAGACGAGCTGCTGTTTGCTGTGAAAAACTCTGTTTAGTTTGAGGAGCGCTCTGGAGGCGCCGCACCTGAGCGGAGGACAGGTGAGTCTACCTGCTGACTCATGACTTATTCAGCGGCTCTCAGGTGAGGCAGGAGTGGCCTCCGTCATGGCGTTGTGTACCTGTGTGCATCTCCTTATGGCTGCTTGTGTGTTTTTATTTTATCTTAGTTGTCGTTTTTGTCTTTTTGTCACGACGACTTTCTGTTTTTCTCGTCACGTTGCTTCCTGTGGTGTCGTTTGTGTGATGCTGGGCGTCTTCATCATTTTTTCGTGGCACTTTCTGATCGTTCTGGAGTCATTTTAAATCTGTTGTGTGTCTTTATACTAATGGTGTGTGTCCTTCTCATCACTTTGGGTAAATGTGCATCTTCTCGTCATCATTTTGTGCCTTCAGCTGTAAGTTTAGGTCTGTAGTCATGTTGCCGTCGTCCTTTTTGTCATCGTATTGTGTTTTTTGTGGTCATCGTGTATGCTTTTGCTTCTGCAAAATGACTCTTTTTGTCTTTTTCTAGTCGTTTTTCATCGTTTTGAGCCCGTCGTGCTCCTGATGAAGCCGTCTGTCGTCCATCAGCTGATGATGAACACTCTGGGGCCGTCCTCCCTCATCGGAGGCAGACTCTCGATCACCACGTTGTCCATCAGCCCACGTTTGTCCTCCTTTCTGCTCCGCCCTCCTTCTCCTCTCCCATTGGCCGGCACCTCCTCGGTAAGCCCCGCCCTCTCCAGCGGCTGAGCGAGCTGATTGGTCAGCTGCTGCACGGTGACCTACAGCAGAGTTTGAATCAGCAGATTTACAGTTTGTTCACCTCCAATAACCATGTTTACACGTTTTTATTCTAAATATTTACATTTTATATCATCATCATCATCATTATTATTATTATTATTGGTATTATTATTATTATTATTATTGTTATTATTATTATTACGTTCTTTCTTTTTAAGCTGTTGGTCGACTCACTTCCAGCAGGTTTAGTTCAGATTCTGGATCAATGACACGATGAGAAATAAGAGAGAAACGTTCAGGTTTTGACCTCGATAGTTCCTCAGAGGTTGTTGTTCAAACAGACTCAGACTCTAATCTGAGGAACACCTGCTGACGTGGATCGACCACCTTAATGTCTGTCGTCTGTCATAAAGACGTTTCTAAAACAGCCTGAGCTGGTCGAGCAGAACGTCCAGATGTTTTCAGATGGACAACCTCCGGCGGGGCACCGACCTGCAGGTCCCTGAACAGGTGCAGCATGGCCACGCCCACCACGATGACCAGGAAGGCGCCCAGCGTGGCCACCACGTCCACGGCCGACATGCTGCTCCACTCCTGGAACAGGATGATGGAGGTGGACAGCACCACGGAGGTGAACAGCACGTAGTAGATGGGATACACCAGCAGCGTGTTGAAGGTGTCCAGGGACTTGTTCAGGTAGTTCACCTGCAGACACGCACACAGGTGGGAGGAGCCCAGGTGAGACGACTTCCTGTCTGTGCAGGGGGAGACTCAGAGAACATCTGAACACGTCTGTGGGTCGTGTTGCCCTCGGCCTCACTGTGAGCTATCTGATTGGTCAGAGAGCCCAGGTGTTGTGGAGCTGCTTTAACACCAAACTGATGGAGACAACAGGAAGCAAACCCCCAGAGGAGGTTCAGCTTACCTGCGTTACTATGGAGACGACCAGGGTGACGAGCAGGATCCAGGTGAGAGGGTTGGAGAGGACGGAGACGTCACGAGACACTGAGGAGACAGAAGGCAGAGGAGACGCCTACGTTACCCTCACACACCTGGACAGGTGATGAGCTGCTTCACGTCCTCACCTCGTTTAGTCGCAGCTTCTCACCAGCGTGGCCACTGCTCTGAGTTTAAATAAAGATCCATCGTCTTCCTGTTTGCTCTTTGACAACCCAAAAGAAAGTCTTCATTTGTTTTAACTTTACACAAAAATACACTTTATCTCCGTTTGCTCTGGGTTTCTGATCGATGTGCCGGTTTTGACGTGAACGTTCACAACAACGAGACGTCCAGCTTCACGTCAGGAACAACAATCTGTTTCCAGTCGGATTCTTTCACACATTCCAGGTTCACCTTGTTGTGGTTTCATCTATGAGGAGAAACTAGAAACACAATCTGCTCAATAAACGGATTTAATTAAAAAACAACACGTTTGACTTCTGTGACGCTGCAGCTCAGTTTAGTTTAGTCCGGTTAGTGTTCACTTCAAAACTTTAAAAAATATCTCTACACAAAAAATGTCTGAGAAACGGACAGAAGTGTTTTTTTGATTCCTTGCAATAACTATTATTATTATTGTTATTATTGTTATTATTATTGTTGTTGTTGTTGTTGTTGTTGTCTGGGTCAGTAGAAGGCCCCTCACTCTTTATGTGAATGAAGCACAGTAAACGAGGTGAAGCAGAAACCACCAGCGTCCTCTGAGCGCGCTCACCGGTGCTGATGGCGATGGCGAGGCCTTTCACCGAGGACACGGTGAACGCTCCGAGCAGCGAGCAGACGCCCACGTAGACCAGGATGTTGGAGGGACCGTAGCGAGGACAGAAGTACAGGATGAGGACGGCACACAGCAGCAGCACCAGCGACATGAACACCAGGAAGCCTGCAGACAGAGACGGAGCTGAGGCGGCGGCTCGGCCCGAACCCTGACCAACCTGTTAGCCGATTAGCTTAGCTTAGCATAAGGACTATAATATCTAATATGATGTGAACACAGATGTTCTGATCAGGTGCCTCTTTCCGGAGCCTGTTACCTTCTGTTTTCTCCAGTTAGCTCTAATCAACTCCTGCTTGCTTCATTTAGCCCCAAATAGCTAATATTAGCTCCCAATAGCTCTGTTGTTGGCTAGCAGCTATTAGCTGCATAACACTCCCATCAACATTATTCACCTTCTTTGAGCTCCAGACTAACTCTGAAGGGCTCATATTAGCTTGTAATTGATCCTGATAGCTTCTGATAGCTCCTGATGGCTCCTGATAGCTCCTGATAGCCCCTGATAGCCCCTGATAGCCCCTGATAGCTCCTGATAGCCCCTGATAGCTCCTGATGGCCCCTGATAGCCCCTGATAGCTCCTGATAGCCCCTGATAGC